TGGTGGTTAGGGTTTAGAGAGATTGAGAAGAAACGATGATGAATTTGGAGAGAGGTTTATCTATAAGAGGAGAAAAAATCCCAAAAAACCAAATTAATCCTTTATAGGTGAAGAATTTTAAAAACCATACATACAACAAAAACCAATTAGAAACAACATAACAAAAATTATTGTACAAAAACAAAATTAGAGGTTGTATCGATTATTGAAAATGAGAAAAATTACCAGGAACCAAGTTTGGATTTAATAGAACCCATAACTTTCCATTCTCGTTTTAAACATTTTGGAGCTTTTCTTGAATGACGAGAAAGGAATGCAATGGACAGTAGATGGTTCGATAGAGGTGGTGACGATGGATGGTTAAAACGATGATAATGGATAACTGTAAGGGTTACCAAGTGGTGGTTAGCAGTTTGACCGCTAGGAGTGGTGGTTGTTGGTGGCGACAATGAGCAGGAGTGATGGTTGGTGATGACGACAATGAGCAGGATTGGGGCTAGGGTTTTTAGAAGGGATATAAAAACCCTAGATCAAGAAAGCCTATGAATAGCGAAGATGATGAAGTAAAAACGTATATCTTGAATTTATCAGAGATGAAGACGAAAGGGATGAGTGAGAATCGGAGTTTTCAAATTTGGGAATCATTTCCGAAGATAAAGGCGGAGGACCAGGTAAAATAAAATAGAGATAGTAAGGAAAAAGATCAAATGACGCGTGTCCATTTCTTTCTTCACAAGTAATGTATTATGGAAGTTATTGTGGAAGTGATGTGTTGTCATGTTTTCATTGGTTCAAATATGTGTTGCCCTAATCATTCATTTTCCATATAACTCTTCCCTATATATATAGGGGAGGGTTCATGCGAAAATGCAAATAATTTGCGAAAACGCGAAAACAAGAAAAACCTATGATATTATATCACCTCAACATTATATTTTGGAAAATAATTCATCCAAACTTTGAAATACATGATGATAATCGATGATAGATGATAAACTGTTTCATATTAGCAAAGTATGATTTTTTAACATTTTTATCATGAAAACATGAATTTAAAAATGATTAAAGACGTGAAAAAAATATAATTATAAAAACCGTCTTTAAATCTATATTACCATAACACCATCCAATTCAAACTTACTATCTTTAATTTATTGCTAATAAAATTATTTTTTTATAGTACATGTGTTTAATTTTCATAAGATAAAATCTGTTTTCGCGTTTTCGCAGGATATTTATATTTTCGCATGAACTTACTTCTATATATATATATATATATATATATATATATATATATATATATATATATATATATATATATATATATATATATATATATATATATATATATATATATATATATATAAAAGATAGCAACCAATTAATTGATTCTCTATTTCAATATTTCATTATTATCTTTAAACGATTAATTATGTTCTAAAGTTTTGTTATACGATAATTTTGTCAGATATATAAAAGTAATCATGTTTTAATATTTCAAGTTATAAAAGTAATCATGGTTATGTTTTTCGTATATGAAAATCATATTATGAAAAAGAGTACTAGCATCTCCCCGTTTTAAAATAAACTTCACATATTATTTTAGTTTTTAAACACATATTTTGACAAAATAACTACTTTTTTAGGATTAATGTATATTTATATATGAATAGTAGATGATATAAGATAAAATCTGTTTTCGCGTTTTCGCAGGATATTTATATTTTCGCATGAACTTACTTTTATATATATATATATATATATATATATATATATATATATATATATATATATATATATATATATATATATATATATAAGATAGCAACCAATTAATTGATTCTCTATTTCAATATGTCATTATTATCTTTAAACGATTAATTATGTTCTAAAGTTTTGTTATACGATAATTTTGTCAGATATATAAAAGTAATCATGTTTTAATATTTCAAGTTATAAAAGTAATCATGGTTATGTTTTTCGTATATGAAAATCATATTATGAAAAAGAGTACTAGCATCTCCCCGTTTTAAAATAAACTTCACATATTATTTTAGTTTTTAAACACATATTTTGACAAAATAACTACTTTTTTAGGATTAATGTATATTTATATATGAATAGTAGATGATATAAGAACAATATATTACGTGTTCTTTAAAATATAGCATGTTTTTGCTAAGAACATATGAAAATCTGCATTCATAAATAAGTCACATGTTTTAACCAATTTGCTAATATTTATTGTAACACACCATCCCTCTAAACCTTAAGCCCTTAAATAGTCGTCTAAAACTGATCATCAAAAGAAACTATTTGGTACCGTTACATCACTAATAGTCAAAATAAACTGTCTAGAGATTTGGTCAAAGGTTTCCTCTATGTCCTCATGAAGATGACATGTTACCATTCAAGTTGATAAGAAAACAATTTCTAATCAGATTATGTTTTGCGATGACAATCAATAAAGCTTACGGATAAATAATTCCAAATGTAGGTATTTATCTTCCAAAATTGGTTTCACGCATGGCTAACTTTATGTGGCATTGTCTAGAGGGATATCACGTGTCAATACAAAAGTATTAGTGAACTTTGATGAACAGTTCAACAACAATGAAGTTTATACATTAAATATGGTCAACAAATAGGATATAATTGCTTTGTAGGTATTTATCTTTAAGAATCGTTTGGAGGCAAAACCATTTTATTTGGAGATGGCTTTAAACAAATTCTTCTAGCAATACAAAGAGGCAATTGTTCGGATGTTGTGCATGCACCATATTCATCTAAATTACGGCGTGATGTATAGTTTTACGTTTAACCGTAAACATGAGATTTATTTTGGTTGTCTAACTAATGATTTGGATGAGATGAAAGCATTTGATGAGTAGATTCTTAAAATTGGTGAAAGTAATATTAGCGGCCCTAATGATGGTGAAACTGAAATTGAATTTCTAGAATACGTTTTTGTTCGCTCTATATATGATCATATTCATTCAATTTTATCCACCATTTATCCATCTTTTGAAAACCAGCTTGATGATCAATCATATTTTCAAGATAAAGATATTTTGATCCCTACAAATAAAGAATTTGATGCTACCAATGACTACATTTTAGGATTGATGAAAGATGAAGGGAAAACATATATGAGTTCAAATTCTTTACGTGATATAGAGTTACTGAGTTTTTTTTGAGGAATCAATCTACTCTTCAGTTGTGTTGAATGATTTTAAGGCATCTAGAATTTCCAACCATATTTTTAAACTAAAAATAGGTGTTCCAGTCATATTACTTTGTAATATCGATAAAACCAAAAGACTATGCAATGATACTAGATTATAGATTGTTAGGCTTGGAAGAAACATCATTGAAGCCTGAATCATATATGCTAGATTCTTTATCGAGACTACTTATATACCTTGCATGAATTTAACTCCGTCTAATAAAAGAATCTCATTCCGTTTTTAGCGGAGGCAATTCGCCGTAGTAGTTTATTTTGTTATGACCATTAACAAAAGTCAATGACAATAATTATCAAATGTTGGATTATACTTGCATAAGCTCGTCTTCACTCATTTTCAGTTATATATTTTTTGTTTCCCGCATCACAAGTGAAAAGGGATTGAAAGTATTCATATATGACGAGGAAGGTTGTCCAACTAATAAAACAAAATGTTATTTTTACAAAGAGGTCCTTCAACTATTATAGATATTCAAGTGTTTCTTTGTTTTTTTTTCAAACATTTAAATGTTAGCAATAATACTAAATCTGTTTATGTTACTTTATTTTTTTATAGTGCCAACTTTTTTATACATTTACATGTATATTTTTATATGTTCTCCGCATTTTACGTGGATTATAATTTAGTTTTCTCTTATAACTATATCTTTTATTTTAATTTGTTAATTTATGAATATTAAAAAAAATAACAAGTATAACTTTTAATTCTCTGCTTATTGAATATACCATCGATGTCTTTTAACATGTATACCTATTTAGTACTTCCAACACTTTTCTTCCTTGGCCATCTTTTACACCACCAATTCTATTTTTTTTTAAAAAGATATTATAATCACATGAATTATATAAACTTTAACATTTTTAATGCGTATTAAATCACAATTTATCTTTATAGAGACCGTCTCGATCACATTACAACGTGCCATATATATATATATAATCTCGAATAAATACTTCGTATCCTTTAACGTAATAGAAATCTCACACTCTTTAGCAATTTTTGAAAAGATGGAACTGGATCCGGTTACACGGGCTCTTGTACCCATCCTGGAACCGCTAGAATCGGTTCCGAACCTGGATACGGGATACCTACTTTCTAAAAATATTAATTTTCATTTATACAAACTAATCACATAACAAAGAATGTATCATTCCAAGTACATCTATAATTGTTTATCAAGTTTTATAAAGTTCAACGTAAATCGCTTGTCATAATAATCAAGTGGATATTAAATTATTAATGCGGCATATGCATTTTCATGAAGTTACGTAACAAAAAAAAATAAAAATAGGCATTACATAAAGTTGTGAGTTGTGGGTTATGCTTGGTTTGGATTTTCCAAACGTGCGATTTTCCTATCTTAATTATATATCTTGAAATTAATGGAGGATATATTTGTTCGTAACTCTAATTTTTTTTTTTTTTTTCTGTGGATGAATTAAAAAATGTGGTGGATAAATCAGTGCCCATTTGAGATATATATACCGCAACTATCAAAGAAATGAATGGGTCAAACTCCCCTACAATCTCTACGCATCCAAACGATATTCGTCTCCTAAATATTACTTGATCCGTAAAATCCTCACACACATAGACACACATACACACACTTGAGTGTTGCATCTGTTAAGAATTTGTTCTTTTATTTCTAATGGTTCTACTTCTACTCTTCCATTTTAGACATTCGAGACCTTTAAACACAAACACTTCGTGTTGTAGTGAATGATGGATTTGTATTTTGAACTCGAAAAAGGCATGCCTTTCTGCATTGAAGTTGGCTACTTTGATACAATGAAAGAAATCAAAGAAAAAGTGACAAAGTATCATGGTATTCCAGTTCATGAACAAACCCTAATGTTCAAAGGAAGAATCCTACCCGACGATCTCAACATTCACAACTCCAACATCTTTGATAGCTCACACCTTAAGCTTATGATCAACAATCCCACCAAAAGTACCACCACCACCAGCAGCCCCACCACGGATCCTCAACAACCACCATCACACGTAACCACCACCGCCATCACCATTACCAAGGTCAAAATCGAAGAAACGTTTTCACCGGCTTCTTGTTCTTCCTCCCAGAAGATCAAACTTTTCTTGAAAACCTTCGGAGTAGCAATTGAAATGGACCCGAATGATTCAGTTTTGAAGTTGAAAGAGAAGATCAACGAAATGGAAGGAATCCCATTTAGCAGAATGATTATTCATGCAAATGGGAATGAATTACATGATCATAAGACATTACATGAGTGTCAAATTGTTGATGGTTCAGAAGTTGAGATTACACTTAAGCCACCTACGCCTACGCCTACAATGACAATAACGACAACCACCACAACCACAACTACAACCGCGCTTTGTAATTTAAGCATGAGTTTGATGGGACATAATAATTACTCGAAGAAATTGAAGGTAAATGTGATGTCAAAATGCGGGGATAAGATTACGTTGGAGGTGAATCCACTGAGTAATGTGGGAGAATTGAGGAAGGAGTTGCAGAAGGTGAGAAGTCAAGGGGTAGGGTTCCGTTTACCAGAAGAAGGATATTTCTTTATATACAAACAAAATGTCATGGAAGAAGATCAATCTTTCAGATGGCATCAAGTCGCACAAGGCGACACCATTGAGATATTTAACGGGTGTGTCACCGGTGGGTCTTGAGAATATATTGATTTTTTGTTTTTTTGTTACGTAATTAATCTCTTTTCTTATATGAACGCATATCCAAAATCTTTATCAAGTTAGGCACGTCAATTGTAATAATTAATTTAAAAAATATAAAGAGTAGTACGTACTAGATTATGGGACGCATATCGGAGATAAATGCATGAAGAATATATAGACTCGATTAATAATAGTGTAAATTGAGGGTCCCAATAGAAACTCGTCCAACAAACCTGTCTCTCTCGTCGTTGATTTCAGGGAAATCACCCATCCCATGTCCTTAGTCCTTACTCAGTTTATGTTGGCTGTTTGTGGAAATAGTTTGTTTATCTTCACGGTTTATGAATGAAATTGTCATGTTTAAGTATGTGTTTATGGATGTACTTGTGTTGTGGGAAAATTAGGGTTTGTGGTGGAGATCTGGATACCAACTTGGATCGTGATATCACTTTCCGAACTGATATTTCTACCCTATGTCTGGGTTAAAAGAAATTCAACCAAGGATAATCAAAGTGGACACTTACGTTTCTAGGCACAGAAAACATAAGCTAGTATGCTAAAAGGTTCTATGAATGTGTGATGAAAAACGAGAGCTCAGAAAAAAAAAAAAAAAAAACCCTTCTGGAAAGAAAGAGTTGTTTATATACTAAATACGATTAGGGTTTCATTATGGTTGGGCCGTCATTAGTTGCTTTGAAAGCAAGTAGTATTAATCTGGATTAGGGTTACCAAAAACTAACGAGTTTCGTTAGTTTTACAATAATCACCCTCAAGAAATTGAGTTTTCCATTATGTTCCCAGCCAGGGGCTCTGCCCCTTGGACCCCGCTATAGGTGTTGCCCCTTTGGAAACCCCGGACCCAAGGTCGCTGCCACCAGACCCCCGACTAGTCGTCGAACCGGCTTCTGACTCGATCTTATACATGCGTGCACTCCGCACAAACCCCGTACATGTATTAGAGTACAAATCATGAAGCCCCCTTAGCTCACATGTTAGTTCCAATTACTTAAAATGATATGGTGACACTAAAATTACCAACAATCCTCCCCCATTTTAGTGTAACCCTTGAACCAACATAACCTTATCAACAACAAACCAAACTAGTACATAATGAAAATATCGAAACGATTGAATTTCCACTTAGTATCATACACTTGCAAATACTCGAGAATCAGGGTGTTCTAAGAATTGAACTCATCAACCCATTTGAATACCAGAAAGTAAAATACATACTAGTTTATTGAATTTCTAGCATAATACAACTTGACACTATTATAAAGCCGTGTTTCCCAATCCTCTCATGATTGTATCAAGGTCAAGTCCACAACCTCTTGAAATGCGGCTACACTTCACAATCACGTAGGTAACTCCTTTCCATGTATCTGCACATACATTTATCAAAGGAATTATTAAGAAGGTAAACTTCAACCTAGCTAACTTGCAGAACCGAACACATACCTGGGATGAAGACTTCATGTGCTCCAATCTATAAGTATGAGCTTTCCACATTGAATTCAACTCCTAACATTATATTAGGAGGGAATTGGGTGTCTCGTCATTATAGAATTAAATGGACTTTAATCTCATCCCAATTATAGACTTGTGCACTAAGTCTCTTGTCAGACCTTTAGTCAAGTGATTTGCCAAATTTTGTTGCGATTTCACAAACTCAACCGAAATCACACCATTCATGATTAGCTTTCTAATCATACTATGTCTAACACCTAGGTATCTAGACTTGACATTATAAACCTGGCTATATGCTTTAGCCAAAGCGGGAACACTATCACAAAGGGTAGAAATAGGTGTTATCGGTTTAGACCACAAAGGAATCTCATAAACCAAATTCCCTATCCACTCTGCTTCTTTACTAGCAGCTGCTAACGCACCAAACTCAGATTCCATTGTCAAGTTTGTAATGCTAGATTGCTTCTTGGAAGTCCAATAAATGGCACCTCCCCCAAGCAAAAATACCCAACCAAAAGTTGATGAATTCTCTTCCATGTTGATAATCCAACTTGCATCTGAATGACCTTCTAAAACCGAAGGAATCCCCAAGTAACACAAACCATAATTCATGGTTCCCTTGAGATACTTAAATACTCTATTCACTGCTTGCCAATGTTGAGCACTAGGATTGCTAGTGTACCTACTCAACTTACCCACAACAACGCAATATCAGGTCTGATACTTGTCATGGCACACATCAAGCTACCAATAGCCTTAGAGTATTCCAACTATGAAATGGGAATACCATTATTTGGCATTAATTTCACACTTGGGTCCATAGGAGTACTCACAGGAGAACAATCGGTAAAATTAAACCGCTTGAGAATTTTCTCAATATAATGACTTTGAGTCATTACCAATCCTTTGTTCATCCTCTTAATTCTTATTCTAAGAATTACATCAGCCTCTCCTAAATCTTTCATGGAAAACTTGGATGACAACAATTTCTTTGTTTCATCCACTTGATTTTAGTCGGTACCAAAAATCAACATGTCATCTACATATAAGCGAATGATCACTCTAGCTCTAGTAGCATCATCAAATCTACTATAAACACATTTGTCACATTGGTTTGTTTTAAACCCAAAAGACAAAATCACCTCATCAAATTTTTGATGCCATTGTTTAGGCGCTTGTTTCAGCCCATACAAAGATTTGACAAGTTTACAAACCATATGCTCTTTACCGAGCATAATGAAACCTTCTGGTTGTTTCATGTAAACTTCCTCGTCAAGATCACCATTTAAAAAAGGCTGTTTTCACATCCATTTGGTGAATAACCAGATTGTGGATACTTGCCAAGGCAATCAACAATCTAATAGTAGAAATACGTGTAACTGGAGCATACGTATCAAAATAGTTAATACCGACTTTTTGTCTAAAACCTTGAATGACTAACCGGGCTTTAAATTTATCAATAGTCCCATTAACATTCATTTTCTTTTTGAAAATCCATTTGCAACCAAGAGGTTTAGAACCCGGAGGCAAATCAGACAACACCCATGTATTGTTCTCAAGAATTGATGACATCTCATCATTAATTGCTTCCTTCCAAAAGGCACTATCACGAGACTCCATGGCCTCTTGATAAGTCTTAGGATCATCTTCAATACTATAGAAATATGAGTATTCAAGATTAATTTCATCCCTTGAACCTTCCACCAAGTACAGTTGGAAGTCGAATCTGAATTTTTGCGCAACTTGACCTCTTTTGCTTCTACGAATATCTTGTGGTTCTTGCACGATGTCGCACCCCCAAACCAAGGATGGCGGAAACGTCCGGGGGTGGAGGACTTCATGTAGAGTATCACAACAATGAGTATAATAGTGCTCAAAGTAAATACAACCAACACAAATATAATTGAAAATGTTACATCGAAGCACATGTTTACATGATTCACATCAGTTACATTATAATACGAAATGAACTGTTTGACGATTTATCGTCCCATCCTCAAAACGTTGTTGATTTCCTGTTTTCACTGAATTCCTGAGAATACAAGTAGTTTTGAAAAGTGTCAACACAAAGGTTGGTGAGTTCATAAGAGATTTCGTTAGAAAAGTAAATCGTTTTCCTCGAAAAAGCGTTAGAGTATGTATCCAGAAAATCCGATATTTTCTTTAAAACCTGTGTAATGTCGTCTTATGACTGAAGACCAACATGTATAACTAACCCTTCTTATTAGTAGCAAATGTTATGTATTTAAATGGACATGGACGCTTTTGAATTAAACGAAATTTCTGTACGTTCTCATGTTTGTTAATACATTATATATATGTAGTCCTAAATTAGAGGACCGAGTAATAACAAGTATTGACCATACTTAAAAGTATAAATGCGGTTTCAAATGATGTGTAGTCGTAACTACCAAAACCAAAAGTGTACAGTAATATCTGTACTCATAGAGATAAAAAGGTGATTTTAAATCGACATAAAACTCATTTAGGTTTTAAAAATAAAATCCCGCAAACTTATGGATTGTTATATCCCTATGTGAGTCGCTATAATCATACTATGACTATGTGAACCTGCCACGACGTTCTCAGTGTCGCGAAAAATAAAATGACATTTGTCACCCGTAGACCTGCAGGTCCAACTGTAGCTAGCAGCAAGGTGTGGGGTGTCAATCCCAATATAGATCTATATACAAGTATCACGTTCTCCCTCAAGGAGATTTTGATTATAGCTACCAGGAATTATATCCCGCACTCGGACGTACGGGGAGAGAGAGAGAGAGAAAGAAAAATAGAGAAACTCACAATATAGGATAACAAGTTTACGTGAAATGTGTGTGAATATAAATATTTCTTGTATGAATGTACCCTTCTTGTACGAGTGCGTAGAGTGATGTATCATAAACTATACCTATTATAGTTTATCTAAAATGTATGTAATATGTATGAATTCTTTTATGGAAATGTATTAGTGTTGTGAATTTATCAAACTATACTTTTTATAGTTTAATAATGCGTGTTCCAAAATGAATGAATAATATTTAATATGAATGTCTTAGTTTCAGTTCATAATGATAAACTAACAAGGAAACACATACAAATACTAAAACTTATGATTATACACTTTGCTTAACATAATACAAAGTGTTATGATATTTACATGCTGTTGGCAAAATTTAGCAATTCTGCCATGTTTTGGAAAAATCATAGAAAAATCATACGAAGTCGAAAACTAGATCCGTAAATTCTGAGAGTTCACAAAATGTGTCTAGTTTGCTCATAAATTTTATCTCAATTTATAATGACCTCTAACTTGGGTGAAAAAGTCCAAAATCACAGACTGGTCCGGATTGTTGTTTGAAATGATAGGCAGTTTTGTAAAAATCGCCATAAATTGTAGAAAAATCGTATGGAGATGTGCAAGTAGCCATTTTAAAGCTAAAAACTTGAACTATTTGCACCTTGTACAGTTTTGAAAACAAAAATGTGTAAGATGCCCAAAACAGTCCGTGAATGGAGTTGAACTTTTCTGA